TCTTTCCCTTTTTAACTAGTTTTATGTCAGCTGTCTGGAGGAGGAAGGAACTGAATGTATTCACAGGAGCAGGTACAGCACATTCTAACCATGCTTTAAAGTCTGCAGAGACTCGATGTTAAACATCCTCTCAGTATAGGTCTCTGATAAATATTTCCTTGTAGTCTTTTGGGGTTTTTTTTGGGGGGGAAATGATGTGATATCATAGGAGGTGGTAAAAATAAGCCCATGAGGAATTTCCCTCTTTAGTTTAGCTTCTGAAGTTGCACTGATTCAAGCAGTGATTCATCCACTGGCAAGTTCAAGGAGGGATGAAGGGGTTTGGGAAGGTACGTCCAAAAATCATCACTTTACTTTGGGCTAATGCAAGGAAATACATACAATCCCATTTGCTTTCAGGGGGATATGCCGTGGAATGTAAGGAAAGGGAGGGGAAGCAGAGACCACTGAGCTGCCAGGGGTAAGTGTGGTACGTGTTGTGATTGAGCATCTGGAAGATGCTAAATCATTGCGTGACCAGAACTTCCCAGCATGGAGGCAGCAGAGTTGTGTCTGTCATCCTGCACCTTCCTTCCTGCCACTGCAAACATCCAGCTCAGCCAAAGAGGCTGAGTTCATAGAATCACTGCACAGTTCAGGTTGGAGGGACCTTAAAGACCATCTATTTCTAACCTCCCTGTCATGGGCTTCATCTTATGTCTGTTTTAGGGGGAGAAGCAGCAGCTGGGAGTAGGATTTTTCCTTATTGCCAAGGATTTTAGCATGATTGAATGTAATGACTTAGGGAGAAGGATGGTTTTCCCCCTATTTTCTTGTCATGGGGCTGCTGTAAGTGATATTTCCTCCCACCCGACTCTTCCCCAACACAACCTTTTGCTGAGAAGGTACCATTGAGGGATGCTGCAGAACTTCGTGCTCTCTAAAACAGAAACAACCAACTGCAACCTGTTAAAGACCTTTAGCAATAAGGTCTCTGTTTCGCAAAGAGAGACCTGGATGCTTTAAACGAGAGGGAGGATCATCTGTTACTTCATGTTACACGTGACTGTACCCGAGTTAGTCCAAATATTTTGTTTTTCATAGCTAAAAATAAAAGATAAGGACTCCCCAGCATCATTTCTTTTAGGTGGCCATAGAAATCATGATTAAGCACACCCACTGTATGTTATACCTGTAATTTAAACTTCTTTTTTCCCCTCGGATGTAGGAGTCTGAATTGTGGATGCCTGATGTAGAGTAAAACAAAACCTATTTGGAGCACACAGCTGAGCAGAGGTCATTTCCCTAAGAGACAGACACAGACAACGAGGGGGAGATCTTTGTAACACCTTCCATTAGAGCTTGCGTTATCCCTGGTTTGGATACTAGAGGGTCTTGCCTCATATTAAGAGGTGTTTGTGCTGTTTACATGGTGCAAGGTGGCTCAGGGAGCAGCCAGGACCAGTTACTCCCAATGAGAAGGTGAGTTGGGAGATGAAGGTGGCTTCAAAGCATGGTCCCCCTGTGCCTGAGCACAGCAGCAGCTTCCATCAATAGCTCAGGGGAAACAAGAGCCAAGTTCAAGCCGCGATTGCTATAGACCAGCTCGATTGTTATAACACAGCTCTGAAAATGGTCCAAGCCCCAGGGCTGAGCTTAAATACAGCCTGAGGGAGAGGGGGGGTGTGAAGTTCCCAGGTGATGCTGGCCATGGCAATCACTGTGGCTGCAATCCCTGATGTCTCAGGGAGAGGAGAACTGGTTTTCCACCACCCAGTGCCCTGAACATACTGGCAGCACCATATCCAGCCTTCTCTGATCTATCCCTGTGCACAGAGGATGGAAGGATGGAGCAGAAAGGAACAAAGAGCTCCTTTACTGTGTGTTAATGATTCTCATCCCTCCTCAGTTATGCAGAATCAGACTGGTTTGGGTTGGAAGGGACCTTAAAGCTCCTTCAGTTCCAACCCCTGCCATGGGCAGGAACACCTTCCACTAGAGCAGGTTGCTCCAAGCCCCTGTGTCCAACCTGGCCTTGAACACTGCCAGGGATGGGGCAGCCACAGCTCCTCTGGGCACCCTGTGCCAGCGCCTCAGCACCCTCACAGGGAAGAACTTCTTCCTTAGACCTAACCTGAACTTCCCCTGTTTCAGTTTAAACCCATCACCCTCTGTCCTATTGCTACAGCCCCTGATGAAGAGTCCCTCTTTAATTCTACCTGAATAAGGTGCTTCAGACGTTGTGTTCTCTTTTCTGGAGGAAATTGTCCAAATGCCTCTATTTTTCATTAAAACTCTATCAGAAACTTTGATTAAAAGCTTATAAAGCTTGCAAAGTTAGAAGCATTTCACTTCACACCAGCTTAAATTAGGTTTTGACTGGTTGCCATTGCATTCATTCATTATTCATCACAGTTCTTTGCAGAAGACCACAGTTTCCAAAGAGGCTTATTTTAAAACATAAATTTATTCAGTTTGTCATTATACAAGTACATGTTCTTCCAGCAATTGGATAGTTCATTAGACAGAAATGGTGTGTTTCAATTAAATGCTAAAACTCCTCCATCTACTGTTTCATTTAAAGCATCTTCCACCTCAATAATGTGATGACATACAGAAGAGCTGTGATGACATGGTCAAATCAAGCATGGACCTGTTAATGAGCGTCCAAAAAGGAAAAGATGAATAGATGCAAAGACCACACATCCCAGGAAGATTTTTGGTTGGGACACACTTCTGGCGCTGTCCTAACCTTTGTGTGCCCATCACAAGCTCTTAGCACAGCTCCGGCTCACTTACACTGAATAAATGTACTGGATCCTCATGTCAGGATCGCCTCTGGCAGTATCATAGAATCCCAGCCTGGTTTGGGTTGAAGGGACCTTAAAGCTCCTCCAGCTCCAACCCCTGCCCCGGGCAGGGACACCTTCCACTAGAGC